TTATTGTTTTATTTTGTTGTTCAGTTACTTAATTACTTAACATAATTTATTTCTTTTCTATTTAATCCATTTAATGTTATTGATTATTTTATTATTCATTATAAGTACTTACATTACTAAATTCCCCTTCAAATTGTTGCTTAATTACTTAAATTTCTATAATTATTTTCTTTATTTACTATTTAATTCTTCCTTGGATAAATTATTTATGTTCCTAGTTAATTTTCAATCTTCACTATTATTTTTTAAGCATGGTAAAGTGCCTAATTTTCATGAAAAATCAAGTTGGTTTACATCTTTAATTATTTTTCAATTTTTGATAAATAATAAATATAAGAACATGTTACCATGTCCAATGACGTTTGTGAAATAAGGTTACTCATGTATCTTACAATGCAATTTATAAAGTGTAAAATATTGTACTAAAAAATGATAAATAAATTACTAGGGGGTGTTTAATTCTCTTTCATTAATTACTCTAGATTTTCTAAGTCACAGAGTTTGTCAACTCGCAATATAATCAACTTAAATCACTCAAACCCACTATGCAATGCATTTCCTTCCAATTTTTTGTGTCAAAATAATAGATGATTGACTAAATAAACTTCTTCTAAAGTTTCATTAAAAATTTCCATGTATTTATGACAATTTCCGTAGTTTTTATTCAATTTTTATCGATATCGATATTTTCCCGATATTTCCATCGATATTTCCGTGTTTTTGAACCACCTATATTTCCGAAACTATCGATATTTAAGACCTTGCTTTTCTCTAACTGGTGTGTTCTGTGCAAAAAAGACAATGAAACTGTGGATCATCTGTTTTTGCTTTGTCTTATTGCCTCATCCCTGTGGGCTAAGTTATTTAAGGTGGCAGGGCGAACGCGGGGTAACTTCGCAACGTGTAATGCAGTGCTTGAAGCTAGATTGAATTTCTTTGGTGGTAAGAGGAAGGGTTCAGTGTTGGGAAATTGTGCCATGATGGCAATCTGTTGGGTAATTTGGGGGGAAAGGAATAGGAGAATCTTTGAGGATGTGGTTGGGGACGAGGTAGACCAACTTTGGGATCGTATCCGAGTTTGGGCCTCACTTTGGCTTCTGTTTCAGCAGAGTTTAGGGAGATTAGTTTTCAGCTCATCCATCTAGATTGGAAAGCAGTAGTTTTGTGGTGTAGAGTTTTACCTCTCTATTTGTGTGGTGGCCTCCTTGGCCATTTTGTGTATTGTTGATGTTTTATTCTTTATTGAATAATATTGTTTCTTTTAAAATAAAAATAAAAATTATTTATGCTTGTAGAATATCTCGAGCTATTATAGACTTACCGAGTTTCAAAATGGGTTTGATTCTTTTGTTTTATAAAGGATTCTTGAAGTTTTCTAAGAAGTTATTTCAGTTGTTAAGACCATTTAACATATTTGTAGCATTGCTTTTAATTGTCATGTCATATAGAAGTTTTCCATTATTAGTGAGTTTAAGCTACATTATTACTACTTGGGTTTTTGGAAAGTTCTCAAGTTTTGAATTATGGAAGGTATGCGAAAACTAGGGGTTGCTACGTTCTTATTAAATATTTTCGAACTTTATTTGTGTCCAATCACTGAGTTTATCTCCTAGTTTATCCCTTGTTTTGTGGCCCTATGCTATTGGGTAGCTGTGGTCTGATTGTGCCACGTTTAGGCTCTCGCTCTCCGTTTCAGATTGTTGCCTTGATCTTGTAGGACTTTATCCTCGACCTATTTATCTAGTATTAGTGAGTTTGGTTAATTGAGTGTATGTGTTAATGTGCCCCCGAAATGTCTAGGGTAATTGTTTATGATGTATATGTTGAGCTGAGGGTCTGACTGTCAGATTGGGTTGTTGATGTGATGATAGTTGAGTATTCTGGATTCTATAGAAGAGTCTTTCTTGTACAAACATGCGTTTTTGTTATTTTCTTGATATTAAGTAAAGTTAAATTTGTCTACCTGCAAGACTAGCTTGCAATGTGGTGGAACTTTTTAAATAAAACAAAGGATGGCTTATGCATTGTACCTAAGGATGCCAAGTTATCAGAAAATACTTAATTATTTTTCTTACTAACCTTTGTAAAATATATTTTGGTTAGAGTAAGATCTCGCAGGAATTGACACAACTAGTTATCACCCATGGTGAGGAGACTTCAGAGTTAAGGTTGCAAGCATATTTATCAGCAAGAGGTGTTGAGAGTCGTGGAACAATTCATGGTTACCACTAGTAAAAAATAACCCTAGCGCGACGAAAAATTCTTCATCGCTCAAAGTCACTTTGCGCGACGAAACTCAAAACTTCGCCGCTCAAAACCTTGCGCGACCAAATTTTGCGTGACGAAAAACAATTCGTCGCGCAAAGTGACTTTGCGCAACAAACTTTTGCACGACGACAATACATTGTCGCGCAAAGTCTTGCTTGACCAAATTTTGCGCGACAAAAAACAATTCGTCTCACAAAGCGACTTTGCGCGACAACAATACATCGTCGCGCAAAGTCCTTATAAAAATAAATAAAATAAAAAATTATTTTTTAAAATCTTTGCATGGCGTAATCCAAACATTTCGTTGCCTAAACCGATTTATTTTTGTTTTTTATTTTGTATGCATAACACTTAAGAAATTAAACAGCATATATATATTTTTATTAAGTAGCTTTAAATTTATTATTTTAGATCGGATCGGATTTTTGTTAGAAAAATATATTATTGTTGTTCGGATTGGGTTTTTGTTAGAAAATATATTTTTTAAATTGACGATCGAATTAGTTCATTGTATTCATATAGGGTCAAGGAGTGTAGCTGTAAAAAATCATCAAAATCGGAGTTAAAATATCCGTTAAACCGTGATTTTTCATTTATAACCGTCAAAAAGTTTTGTCCCATTACTTGATCTCTAAATGTTAATTTTTTTCGGATTTGTGGCGTATATGATCTCGAAGTATAAACAAACAAGTTTGACGGTTGGATCGTTGAAACTAGTTTCGTAGAATGCATATGCCATCAAAACAATATATTCACTAACAATTAAGAGTTTATTTATACTTTTGTTAAATATAACATAAGATTTTATGGTATCCACTAGTGAAAATATTTTAAATTGAAGATCAAATTCAGTCATTGTATTCATATAGGGTAAAGGAGTGTAGCGGTAAAAAATCATCAAAATCGGAGTTAAAATAACCGTTAAATCATGATTTTTCATTTATAACTGTCGAAAAGTTTTGTCTCGTTACTTGATCTCTGAATGTTTATTTTTTCCGATTTTTGGTGTATGTGATCTCAAAGTATAAACAAACAAGTTTGACGGTTGGATCGTTGAAACTAGTTTTGTAGAATGCATATGCCATCAAAACAATATATTCACTAACAATTAAGAGTTTATTTATACTTTTGTTAAATATAACATAAGATTTTGTGGTATCCACTAGTGTAAATATTTTAAATTGACGATCGAATTAGTTCATTGTATTCATATAGGGTCAAGGAGTGTAGCTGTAAAAAATCATCAAAATCGGAGTTAAAATAACCGTTAAATCGTGATTTTTCATTTAGAACAGTCAAAATTTTTGTCCCGTTACTTGATCTCTGAATGTTTATTTTTTCCGATTTTTGGCGTATATGATATCGAAGTATAAACAAATAAGTTTTACGGTTGGATCGTTGAAACTAGTTTTTTTGAATGCGTATGCCATCAAAACAATATATTCACTAACAATTAAGAGTTTATTTATATTTTTGTTAAATATAACATAAGATTTTGTGGTATCCACTATTGTAAATATTTTAAATTGATGATCGAATTAGTTCATTGTATTCATATAGGGTCAAGGAGTGTAGCTGTAAAAAAATCATCAAAATCGGAGTTAAAATAACGGTTAAATCGTGATTTTTCATTTGTAACCGTTGAAATTTTTTGTCCCGTTACTAGATCTCTGAATGTTTGTTTTTTGTGATTTTTGGGGTATACAATCTTGAAGTATATACAAACAAGTCTGACGGTTGGATCGTTGAATGGTGTGTGTATATATATATATTTATTTACTTATTAAGTAGCTTTCAATTTATTTATTTTATACGTATAACACTTAAGAAATTGAATAGTATATACATTTATTAAGTAGCTTAAACCTTATTTATATTTTAAATAGTAAAATAAAATTATTTTATTTTTTATTATTCATAACAATTATTTTTATAAATATTGTGCTACGAACCAATTTTTCGTCTCTCAAAAGTTTGCGCGACCAACAGTTCGTCGCGCAAAACTCTAAAAATCTGGGTGGGTAACAAAAATGGGACGCGGGATTTATATATTTTTTTTTTTTTTTGACTTTGCGCGACCAATATATATTTTCGTCGCGCAAAAATTTGGGCGGGTACCCAAAATTGGGACGCGGGAATTTTTATTTTTTATTTTTTGACTTTGCGCGACCAATATACTAATATTTGTCTCGCAAAACTTTGGGCAACCAATATGTTTCGTCGCGCAAAACTTTGCGCGACCAATATTCCAATATTTTTCGTCGCGCAAAGTGATACGGTTTTTAAAACGAAAATAACTCATCCACCATTTTCTCAATGTCTTTCTCTATGATCTTTGCGCGATGGATTCTCCACGACCTTTGCGTGACCAAAGAAAAAACTTCGTCGCGCAAAGTCTTTCTTCACGATCTTTGCGCGACGGATTCTGCGTGACGAGGTTTCTGTCGCGCTGAAATTTGTGCGACTATAATGTATTTTGCGCGATGAAATCTCTTCGTCGCGCAAAGTGTAAAATGTAGTAGTGTACGGAAATATTGTGACACCAGATATGGTGCCTTGGGTGGTACAAACTCAACCAACTTCTTCATCTTGTCGATCACATAGAGGACGAGATTATGCTTGTTTGGAGTCTCAATTTTTAGAGCTGCAAGAAAATTATGAGAGACAACAGAAGGAGATGGAGAAGTTGAGGCATATGATATTATCCTCACATCAGCAACCATTCCAGCCACCTACACATCAACAGTCTTCCTCACAAGAGCAATCACCCTCCCAGTGGCAATGTTCATCCTCTCAGCAGCATTCATCCAACCAACATCGTTCTCCCTCCCAGCATCAGTCACCTTCCCAGCAGACTCCATCTTCACATCAGTATCCGACTTATTAGCATCATCCTTATTTATATCAGCCGCCATCTCATTTGTATTATCCCCAACCATACCATCCACAACTATATCACCCAATGCCTTATCCTCCTGGAGAATTTTCAGGGATGCTTCACGAAGAATTTTTGCAGGATTTTATGTCTTCAGATCAGAGGGCTCATCGTCCTGAATCGAGTTAGGATATTTTGCTATTTTCTTCATACTATTGGGATCATTTTGAATTATTGCTACCTAATATTGTTTGGCTGGCTATATACGTTTGGGAATTATATAAATATATATATTTGATGTTCTGTGCATTTTATATTATACAATTAATTAATTTTTATTTATTTGAAGAATAATTTATATGTTGAATATAACAAATTAAAAACTAATTTTAAATAAATATGCTCCGATGAATTAATGACTTTGAAATGTATTAGGGGCACATGTATATGTCTCTACAACTAATTATTATTTATTATGAAATTAGAGGTAGTGGTGCAAATAAGCGCCCTTACTGTTAAAAAATTTATTAGAGGCACATAAATATTCGCTCCTAATATGTATTCTATGGTTCATTGCCAACGTGGCAACTGGAACAATAGGGGCGTTTTTAATAACCTTTCCGCCCCTATTAGTTTTTAGTGGCACTACTAATAGGGGCCTTTCCATTATCTGCCCCTCATATGATTAGCGGCAGATTTGTCTAGTTTTCCACCCCTATTTGAAGTAATAGGGGCAAATGTAATCGCCCATAACTCTTTCTTTTTTCGTAGTGAGAGAATCCAAGATTAATTACACATGTTGAGTTTAAAACATGATTATATTAATATAAATTCATGCATGTTACCTAATATTATTTGCACTTCTTCACGAGGCTTGGGAAAAGGATAGCCAGCTCCACGTTTTGGATACACAAATATTGCGCCATGAACTGTGGCTCCAGCCAGTGTCATTGTGTGCGTGCCACCAGATGGTTCCTTCTGTTATAAAAATATAGTTTTCCTTTTTGTAAAGCCAAATGCAAAAACTTTTATATTATAAATAATTTATAAACAAATTGGAAAGCTTTTAAGGTACAATAAAATTGAAGAAAACAAAATAATAGGTAAGTAAATGCAAAATAAATAGTAAGTAAGAATGTGAGTTTGGTACAGTGAAGCATGTTAAAGACGTTGTCCTAAAGCCCTTGTAGCCTCTCTACGTACAGGTACTGACAGTCTACAACTACAAGACTCCAAGATACGACTCCTTGTACACAAACTCAAGATCCGCTATGAGAATGTTCATAGACGGATATAGGTATCCAAGTCGATCACAGAACCATTGCCAAAATAATAAGGCTTATTAATGTACGTGCCCCATGTGCTTTCAAACTTGTCTCATGTTACCACCTGGGCTTTGAAATGTCTCAAAATACCCCCCCCACACTTTTAAAATCGGTCTCACGTTACCCATTCCATCAGTATTATAGACGTTCCGTTAGGTGCTTTGGGCCCCACTTTGTTTTAATCCTTAACATTGGAGAATAAGGGTTTTTTCAACTTTAGAAAAGGGGAAAGGGGGTGTTTGGGTGAGAAGGGGAAATTTGGAGAAGAAGGCTAGGGCTTATCAAAATCTGAGGTGGGGTTCGAATTTTGGGAGAATCTGGAGAAGAAATCACTGTTTGGGCTGGGTTGCTGCTGCTGCTGCTTGTAATCTATACCCAGTTCCTAATCCTTGGCCTTGAAGATACAAACTACAAAGAACAATGATATATTTATATATCCCATTTGAAATAGATGAAAGCACATCAAGATACAAGCTCATGTCACCACTCCCTTTCATAAGATCTAGATTGGATGGGGAAAGGAATGGAGAAATGAAGGGGGAAATAAAAATCTCCATCACATACAAGATGTTGCCCAGATAGGAAAGAGGCCAGGTGCTGGATTTTGTGGGTTTCTCCATGGAGTAAGACTTAGTTTTTCTTTCATAAGCCTATTATGTCCAAGCTTCCCTCCTGGAAGCCAAGTATCAATTGGGTGATCAAAACTCTGCCATATAACAACAGATGAATTAAATGCATATGTTATGACAAAGTTCCCAATGTCAAGTAGCATTGCTACGGTGGAATGAGAAACCGTTGACATAGAATGAGTTAACCAAATTTCAGTTTTGGATTGGAACAGTAGGGTTAAGTTTCCATTTTGGAAGAGTTGCAATGTTGAAGATGATGTATCAGAAACAGGTTAGTTTCTGTTTGCCACCCAAACTACTGTTTTCGGGGGTAGTTTTTTGTACCATATCCCAATATAATAGTTTTGACAGTTACCTGGTGTGAAGAAACCCAGCTCAAAAATGCCACTTGGAGAGGTAATTGTCTGGTTCCCAGAAAGAGATTGGCTTGCGTAGATAACATGAGACGCCATGGAGATACAAGCATGGAAGGTTAAACACACTACTACAAAAAACACTTTGCGCGACGAAATAAGTTTGTTGTGCAAAGTACAATTTCGTCGCGCAAACCCAGCGCGACGAAATTTTCGTGGGCATGATCCGTCGCTCAAAACTTGTGAAGAAAGGGTTTGCGCGATGAAAAATATTCTTCGTTGCGCAAAGTAACTTTGTGCGATGAATCTTAACGTCGCGCAAATCTACCTTGAGCGAAGAAAAATATTGGTTGCACAAAGTTTTGCACGACGAAACAACATTGGTCGTGCAAAGTTTTGCACGACGAAAAAGTACTGGTAGCGCAAAGTTTTGCGCAACAAAAAGTATTGGTCACCCAAAGTTTTGCGCGACGAAAAATATTGGTCGCGTAAAGGCTAAAAAAATTCAAAAATTCAAAAAAAAATGCATTTTCGCCTTTGTCAAAACATTTTAAGATGGACACAATATCAATATCAGATTTTCTATGAGCTTCTTCAATAATTAGACCACCATGGTATGAATTGAACAACCCCCAAAACGGTGTTTGCCGAAAGAGCTCAACATGTGACTCCTTCACATTTTCTCTTATTCGCTCCATTACACGATGAAACTTCAACACGTCTGACCTGTACTCCAGGTTTGCAAACTCTTTCTTAGCCATGAGGATGCTACAAAGAACAAAGAAAAATTCATATCACAATCTGCGTGTAAAAAATCTGTCTATTCAATTTCTCAACTTGCCATCAGACTTTGTCATAATATTGTCGACTATAGGTAAAATGACGATAGGTAAAATGACAGATAGGTAAAAACAACACCCCAAAAAGCATATTGTTTCAATTGAATCATGGAATATTGATTTGGTACAACCAATATATCTTTGGCAGAACCTATATATCCCATGACAGAATCTATACATCTGATAGTATGAAATGCATTATCTCTACATTAGTATTAGTTTAGGTATTTCCCAGATAGTATGAAACCCAGAAACCCAGAAAGTTAGAAACAAAGAAAATATCTCCTCAATTTCTCAATTCACCACGTTTGATACCCAATCTCTGATTGACATTTGACAATTGTGTGCCCAATGTTAGAGACCCAATTCCTATTTGTTGACAATAGGTAAAATGACGACTTCATACCAAACCAAACGCAAAAACAACAAAACACAAAGCAGATTATTGAAATTGAAATACATAAATTAAAAATACCTGTACGTGAGGAACTGCACTCCAGCAACCCAATGTCAGAAGACCCAATCCCTATTTTGTCAACAATTGATTTCTTGCTTTTGAACATCAGGTTCCTATCATTTTCATACCCAAAAAACTCTACATTATTGCAGCAAGAAATCTGCAGTGACTGGACGGAAATCTGGAGCGATTTGGACGGAATGAGCATGATTTTAGGAAATAACCATGAAAGCTGGGATGTCTCAGATGTCCTAAATTGTGACCATCGAACCTTCTGAGTATCTGTAATATTCAAACCTAATCTGAAACCCCAACAATTCTGCATTGAAGAAGCAAGGAATCAATAGAGATTGGGTTCAAAGGAGAATAACTGTTTGTAGCAACGTGAAATCTGGGATATGTTTAAGATAATTTCCTTTTCTATCTCGATGACAACTGTGGTAAATGGATTCAGATTATGACGTGAATTATTATTTACCCAATTCAAGGGATAAGGGGCAATATTGGAACAAAATATGAGGGTGAAAAAATTTAAAAAAAATTATATCAGAAAATATTAAAAAAGGAATGTAATCCTATGTGGCATAACAGTCAAAGGACTTGTATCAAAGTCACCAAATCCGAGGATTAAAACCAACTTCTTAATGGGAAATTGGATCTATATCAACTTTTCTAAAAAAAGTTACTTGAAGAAAACATGCATGTATATACCACCCAATTATAATGGGGTTGATGCTTGGCAGTGAATTAGGAAGACAAGTAGCAATGACAAAATCTGCAGGGGAGAGTTCCTCTTTCTGACCTCGATCATGTTCTTCTACTGCTCTTGCTTAGTTACATTTGAGAACATACTCTAGCTTGTTGAATTTATAGAAGTTATAATTGAAAGAAGTTAAATGAGAAATGAGTTTCTAAATTAGTGAATTATCAATAAAGATAGTAGGTCTCTAATTCCTTAAGTGAAGTGAGTTTGCTAACATGGAAAAGATGTATATGGACAATGACACGCATTTGAATGAAATGTTTTATCGCTAGAAGTTAATCTTAATTAATGAGGGCCCTTAGATTACAACACTCAATGACGGCCATTTAATGTTGTGCATTTACCCGCATTTCGCAACATTTAAGCCATCCTAATGATCTAATCGTTTAAGACAAGACACATGGCACATAAGCAAACTTCGAAAAAATTAATAAATATATAATAACTTAATTCAATTTAAAATTCAAAAAATTCAAAATTCAAGATTGAAAAAGGATGCAACTCTCCCTCCCCACCCTTATCCCCGCCACCCATACCCAACCCGAAGCCACCCTGGCCATCATACAATACAAGCCCCATTTCTCTCTCTTTCTCTCCCTCTCACACACAAATTGATCCGACAACCATAAAATAAGAAGGGTGTGAATACAAATGCAAAATACAAATCAAACTGATTGTTGAATTTTGGGGATACAGTTTCTGGTCAATTGAGTATATTGAGAAAGGGGCAGTGAGTGGAGAGGTTTATTCAGTGGATATATACAATTCCAATTTGATACTTTCAAAATCATAATCTAGGTGGATCAAAGATCAATCAAAGGCAGCATTAACATTCACTCAGAGATTTTAAGCATCCTTCCTAATTGTAATTAATTTGTAATTAAGATGTGGATCCAAAGCAAGTAATTTGCGTTTCTATTTTTATGCTGATTTTTTCACTCTCCTTTTCTCAACTTACACTCTCCTTTGTTTTTTATTATTTTTTTAAAATTTTTGTTCTTTCTCTTTCCTATTTTACCATTGGTAACATGGCAAGTTACATATGCACTTTGGTGTTGATGCGTAAAAAAATAATAAAGAATTCTTTAAAAATAATATTTTTAACCAAAAATAATAATATCCCAAACCCCAGCACACTCTTTCCCTTCTCCCTTACGCAACCACCCTCCCATCTTCTCTCTCCCCCTCTCTCTATTTCCCCTCTTTATTCGACAACAACCGAGCCCACCCCTCCTCATTTTCTCTCTTTCCCCCTCTTTCTTCATCAACCATCCAGGTTTTTTAAAAAAGTTTTCGGGTTTGAATATGGCTATCGGTGGGGCGATAAGGGAGTTTGTGGGTGGCTGAATTGGGGCAGCAATGGCTATCGGTGGGTGGGTAGCTGTGTGGGGTGTGACGTGGGGGCGGGCTGAGAAAGCTATAATTGGCTTAGCTGAATCACAGAGTGTAAAGCTCCTTACTTGAAGTGAAAAGCTTCAGACCCGAGCATTAGAGATTTCTCTTTGTTAGCACTTAGCAGAAATGTTACAAGGAAGGACAACAAGTTAGAGACTTTCGAGAATTCGGTGGGAATATTAATGTTGCTTTTGGAGATGAAAAAGAGAAAGTTGGATTCAGGAGATGAAAAATAAAATTTTGGTTTTTGAATTTGCAGAGAAGGGGGTAGAGAAAAGGAGTTGAGGGAGAGTGAGCCATTGATGTTGTTGGGGCTAGGGGCTAGTGCAGTGGTGGATGGTGTGGGTGGTAGTAGGGCGGTAGGGTTGTAGTGCAGAGATGGGAGAAGGAGGGGGTTGACAAAAAGAGGGGGTTGTTGGGGCTGGGGAAAATATTTCGTTTTTGTTTTGTAATCTTCTGGGAGCAACCTTATTTGGAGGAGAAAAACTTCCCTGTCGCAGTGATTCCACCATCAACATCCACATCAGTATCCCAAACCAATCCAATTCTGACAGTTGGCCACAGATTTAAACATATTTTATGCCTATTTTCTTCCTCCTCTCATCGGCATCCCTCTCTCTCTCCTCCTTTCCTCTTTCAGTCCGTAAAAATCTGTAACTTTGTTCTTCTAATTCTTCTCCCTCTTCAGTCACTCCATCACCCACACATCATGTATTAATTTCCCCATTTTATCTCTAATATATTTAAACAAAGATGAAAAAGGATAATAGGTAGTGATAATGAAATGGCTGGTTCTTAGGGATTTGCCCCTCAATTCATTGAAAAAAAAAAAGGCTGAATAAGGAGATGATAAGCTTTCTCCCAAACAACACCTTCAATGTTTCCTGACAAAATCGAAACAACACAATCTCTCTCAGCTCCACCATGTCTAATTTTCCAAAACTCCCCAATAGATAATAAATTTGAAGGAAAAAAAAAGTAAATTTAGGTTTTAGGCATAAAAAAATTTTCACTTTTGGAAAAAGCCAAGGCTTTTTCAAAAAAGACAGAAAAACCTCTCAACTTTCAAATCAAAGACATGCAAGTGTAAATGATTTCTTAGGAAATCCAAAAATAAATAAGGGCAAATTTGTCTATTTTGTCTTCTTTTACAAAATTTCTCTCTCCTTTGGGTTTTTCCAAAGTCTCCCAAAAAAAAAAGGAAAGAGATTCCTCAGATTGGAAAAGAGACAATGACGCCGGATAAATTTTTTCTCCTCAAAACCGTACCGAGTTCTTCCACATATTCAAAGCCAACCCAATCTTTCTCAAGTCCATTTGGAGAGAGAACTGGGAAAGACGAATCAGGGGTGTGTGGTTGATGATGATGGGGAGAGAGAGAGAGAGAGAGAGAGAGAGAGAGAGAGATGCCAACGAGAGGAGGAAGAAAATAGGCATAAAATATGTTTAAATCTATGGCCAGCTGTCAGAATTGGATTGGTTTGGGATATTGATGTGGATGCTGATGGTGGAATCACTGTGACAGGGAAGTTTTTCTCCTCCAAATGAGGTTGCTCCCAAACGATTGTGGCCGCAAAAGATCTAAAACTTGCACAAGTATCTAGAATAAAATGGAAGTGTGGAACTAAACGGAAGCATCTAAGACCCGATTTTCACTTTTTACGGTCCATAAACTCCATCTATAAAATGACACTAAAACCCCTTTTTCGTTCGTTTATAAAATATTTGCTAAAATATGAATATGGTTTGAATGTATTATGTTGAATTATATTATTCTCCATAAAGAGGTATATATAGGAGTTTACATGAGTGCTTTACAAGGAAATAGATACAGTAATCCATTAGGATATTGCCTCCTAATTATACAAAGATTTGTCAACTAAATAAAATGGGAAATTAAATCCCTCAATTAATTAAGGAAATAAATCTCCTTGATTAATTAGGAGACTCATGTCAACACTCCTCCTCAAGTTGGTGCATATATGACACCAATGCCCAACTTGGTAAGTGAGTCATGAAATACTCTGCCACAAACAGCTTTTGTTAAGATATCTGCCAGTTGATCTTCTAATTTTACGAATGGTAGGCGGATGATCTTCTTCTCAATCTTCTCTTTGATAAAATGTCTATCCACTTCAACATGTTCGGTTTGATCATGTTGGGATGGATTATGGGCAATGTCAATGGCTGATTTGTTATCACAGTGTAACTCCATTGGCTTTCATGGCTTGAAACTCAATTCTGTCAATAGTCTTTTGATCCACAGTAGTTCACAAACTCCGTGAGCCATTCCTTGATACTCTGCTTCTGCACTAGACCGAGAAACTACATTTTCTTTTTTACTCCGCCAAGTGACTAGATTACCTCTTACAAAGGTAAAGTAACATGAAGTAGAGCGTCTATTAGTAATGGAGCTAGCCCAATCAGCATTTGTATATCCAACAACTTCGAGATCTCTATTTTTTGAGAACATTAATCCTTTCCCAGGTGCTGACTTTAAGTATCTTAAGATCCGATGGGACACACTGGGTGAATGCATAAACTGACTAACCACACTCACAACATATGCAATATTTGGTCTTGTGTTGGCTAAATATATCAACCTTCCAACAAGGCGTTGGTACTGTTCCTTATTGGTTGGTTCTTGATCCATGCCTTCACATAACTTGTGATTTATCTCGATGGGTGTATCAACAGGTTTGCATCCAAGCATTCCTGTTTCAGTGAGCAGATCTAATACATACTTCCTTTGAGACAGAAATATACCAGTTGTGGACCTGGCTACATCCATTCCTAGAATGTACTTCAGATCACCTAAATCCTTCATCTCAAATTCCTGAGACAAATACTTCTGCAGTTTCAGTTGCTCTCCTGTGTCGTTTCCAGTTACGACTATGTCATCCACATAAACAATCAATGCAGTAAGTCTTCTTCCATCACGCTTCAAGAATAAAGTGTGATCTACATTACTTTGTATATATCCAAAATTCTTCGTGGATTTAGTGAATCTGTCAAACCATGCTCTGGGGGATTGCTTTAACCCATATAATGACTTTTGAGCTTGCAAACTTGACTTTCCTTGTCACGAGCTAAGTTACATCTTGGTGGTAAGTCCATATATACTTCTTCTTCCAAGTCTCCATGTAAGAATGCATTTTTTACATCAAACTGATGTAATGGCCAATCGAGATTTGCTGATAGAGACAGAAAGACTCCGATAGTTTTAATCTTGGCTACTAGGGCAAAGGTCTCTTGGTAGTCTATCCCATATCTTTGTGTGTACCCCTTCGCCACCAATCTAGCTATATATCTTTCAATAGATCCATCTGCTTTGAGTTTCACAGTATAAATCCACCTGCATCCCACTGTCTTCTTTCCATGAGGTAATGGCACGAGTTCCTATGTGTCATTCTTCTGGAGAGCTCCCATTTCTTCATTCATGGCTTCTTTCCATTTTGGGTCTTCTAGTGCTTCACTTACACTGTTGGGAACAAGTATGTCGACCAACTGTTTCACAAAGTGTACCTATGACTCTGATAATCTGCTGATGGATACATATTTGTTGATGGGATATTTTCCTTTGCCATTAAAATCTGCTTCGTAGTGTATTGGAGGTTTGCCACGGTTCTTCCTTTTTGGAATTTGATATGCAGGCTCTTTGCCTTCTGAAATCAAATTATCATGGTGATTGGTGTGGTATTGGAGCTGAAGAAGTCTCCGGAGTGGGCAAAATCTCATCAGTTTCCTCTCCTGAGTTGGACAGCAAATAAATGACAAATCAGGCTGAGGTTGATTTTCGGGTAGTGACCGGTCACTTCCAAGCTATGATCTGTCGTTTTCTGGTAGAGTCATTAGCGACCGGTCGCTTTCAACATGCGACTCGTCGCTTTCAGGCTGGGACAATTCTGGAGGAAAAAAAATTGAAAATTTGAGAAGTGTTGGTGTCGCAATGCTCCTCCTGTGCAGCTGAAAAGTATATGTCGTTTTCCCGGAACACAACATCCATAGAAGTATAGACTTTCTGACTAGGAGGATGATAACACCGGTATCCTTTCTGATGAGGTGCATAGCCAATGAAAACACACTTTTCGGCTCTGGATCCAATTTGCTTCATTAGTGAATATGTAAGTGGACAAATACAATACAGCCAAAAATCCAAGGTTCTAAGTTTGGGGTGAGAGGTGTTTGGATATGGTGGTGAAGTGTTTGAATTGGTGTTTGAAAATTTAGGATACTAGAGGGAATCCGATTGATAAGGTATGCTGCAGAGACGACGGCTTCGCCCCAAAATGATCGTGGCATACTGGCACCAAAGAGAGAGGCACGAACGACTTCCAATAAGTGTGTTCTTTCTTTCAGCGACCCCATTCTGTTGGGGAGTGTAAAGGCATGAGCTTTGATGTATGATGCCATGATCTTGTAAGAACTGGTTAAGATCATGGTTAAGAAATTCTCCGCCATTGTCAGAATGAAAACCCTGAATTCTGGCATGAAACTAAGTCTCCACCATTTGATAAAACTGTTGAAACCTGGAACTGACTTCCCCTTTTTGTTTTGCGAAGGGAAACTCAAGTCATGCATTTGCAATCATCTATAAATGTAACAAACCATTGCGCCCCTGCCGAAGTGGCAATTTTAGTAGGTCCCCAAACATCAGAATGAATAAGGGAAAACGGAACCAAACTCTGATTTGAACTTAATGGGAACGGGACACAATGGCTCTTAGCCAATTCACACGTATCACACTGGAAGCTAGAAACATCAAGACTGGAAAATAATGATGGAAACTACTTCTCAAGATAACTGAAAGAGGCATGCCCAAGACGTTTATGCCATAACCAAATTTTGTCTCTCTCCCCCTCAAGACGCGTTCCACTGGTTGTGAAAGCTTGACCACCCTTTACCTCACTATCCGGTGCCAGTCCAAGTAATAGAGTTATCGTCGTTCCTGTGAGGATGTCATGGAAAACACAATGATTCGGCCAAAATGTTACAGTACACCCCAAAGTAGTAGTAAGTTGTGCAACAGATAACAAGTTATGGTCTAAAGATGAAACAAGTAATACAGAATCCAGATGTAGGGAAGTAGAGAGAGATAGAGAGCCCTCCCCAACCACAGGGGAGGGGGTACCATTAGCATTAGACATCACCGATGAAGTGGATGATTTGCGATTAATAAGTTGGGCAGGATCAAATGTCATGTGATCCGTAGCGCCCGAGTCGATAATCTATGCGGAGTTTTTGGAGGACGTACGAAAAGTAGAACCTTTGGTGGTGGTGATAGAAGCAGGAGTCCGGGTAGCCGGGTCAGCAAGATTGACCGCATGCTTCTATAAGTCTGCAAGAAGATGGAGAATCGTAGGGGTTCCTGACATCGCAACGAAAGTAAGATGTGATATGAGAAGGTGAGGAATTTGATGTGAGGAAGTTGATGTATGAATTTGATGTAGGAATTGGATTTAAGAGGTATGTGTATAAGATTTGAGGGTATGTGTTTAGGGATTTGGATAAGAGGATTTGAGGACTTTAGATTTGAGGGATATGGATTTGGGGAAAATTATGAGGAATTTGATTTAGGGTTTTGGATTTGAATATGAGAAATTTGAGATAAGAGTTTAGAGACAACCTAGGATTGATTGCTCTGATACCATGCTAAAATATGAATGTGGTTTGAATGTATTAGGTTGAATTATATTCTTCTCCATAAGGAGGTATATATAGGAGTTTACATGACTGCTTTACAAGGAAATAGATACAGTAATCAATTAGGATAGTATCTCCTAATTATACAAAGATTTGTCAACTAAATAAAATGGGAAAGTAAATCCCTTAATTAATCAAGGAAATAAATCTCCTTGATTAAGTAGGAGACTCACGTCAACAACACTCTGTCTCTCTCGTCTCTCTCTCTATCTCCCTCTGTCTCGCAAGTAAACGCTGTTTCTAGGTGAAGATCGATACGCCAAGATGAGGTGTTCATAGCTCCTAGTTTCTTTTACTCTAGATTTTATTGCTAATTTTGTTCATTTTTCATTTTGAGTTTCATGTGAAGCAGAGGATTTGAGCTAGGTTTTTTTTATTGTTTATTTTCTTTTTCTTTTTTCCTGTTTGGTTGCTTAGAAAGTGAAGGAAAATGAATCATCTGTAAGTATGAGAACTTGACTCTGCCTATGGGGGATGGTCTATTTTGATTGTTGGGTTCAGTAGCTGGTATTTTCCTTGATTTCCTTTTCTTCACCTTTATGTATTTCTCCGCAACCAAACAAGAGAGGTCTAGGGTTTTAGTTATTATTAGCAAAAGGTGCCCGTGCAATGCTGCGGGTTTTAAAACCAAAGGCAATTTGTATTAAACATATGTCTGAAAATCAACCCAAAAAAGTAAAAAGAGCAAAGGGCAATATGGTCATTTTATTGTGCTGCCAAATAGGACAAAAAAGAACAAAGAACATAAGTAGGGGCAAAATTGTCATTTCACTATTGCGAATGGATACTTTACGAATAGTGAATTTTGGGATCAAAATCAACCCAAAAAAGTAAAAAGAGCAAAGGGCAATATGGTCATTTTACTATACCGCCGAATAGAACAAAAAAATAACAAAGAACATAAGTAGGGGCAAAACCGTCATTTCATTATTGCGAATGAATAGTCTATGAACAGTGAATTTTGGGATTCAGTTTTAGTAGATATATATATTTCTTCCCTGGAAATGGTCATTACATATGCTGTGATTTAACTGACTCTATTGGTCGAAATATGTTTTTTCTTATTTTCCATCTTTCTTTTTCTCTGCAACCAAACAAAGGGCTATGCTTTTATTTTTTCAAAACTGAATGTAGTGAGATTTGGGTGAAATTATACCAGACCCAAATGGGAAAGGGAATTTGTAAATTTAGATTTCTTATTTTTTTAGTAAATTTGGCTTACACCCTTCAAATTCAATTTGCCATACCTAAAACCCTTCACTTTTTGTTCCTATAAATAATACCCAATTTGTATAAGTAAAAACCCATGACTAGGATCCAACTCAATAAGTTACCTAATTAAGCATAAAATCTGATTTATTGTAATTTTCAAATTCCAAAAATACCCCCAACTAAGCCATTATTGCATTTTGTATATTAATATAGGAATCGATATGGAAACAGTTTTTAATTGGATTGTATATAATGACAGATGTTGAATTTGGAAAGATCTCCAAATGGTTGTAATGGATGTAGGAATTAATTTTGGAACATTTAAAAAAAAATTTATCAATAAATTCAAATTTGGGTAATCGGTTTGTTTAATAAAATGTTTATGTTATTTTCTTTTTATGAATTATACATGACTAATAATCCACTTTATAATTGTTTATGAATAAAACTGTACATACTAATTATGTTGAAAAAATAATGTACCTATTTTTTTATGAAAAATATAATTTACCTAGTATGAAAAGTGTACATAATTATCTATTCCAATATACCTACATTATATGACATCCAATATACCTACATTAATTTTAATGTACTTACAATTAGGATTTAGGTATTATATGTCATCCGATGTACCTACCATTTGAATAATATACCTACTACGAATAAAGTACCTATTATTTATCTAAATAATGTACCTATTTTTTTCTATAAATAATATAGCCTTTTTTTTTCTGAATAAAGTACCTATTATTTATTTTATTAAAAGTAATTTTTTTTAAATGAACCTATTTTCTCTCTCCAAATAACTGACCTATTTTTTCCTCTAATAATGTACCTATCTTGCCTCTCCAAATAATGTACCTATACACATTTACAAGTATATTGTAAAATAATTTACCTATGGGTAAATAATGTACCTATATTTTATATAAATTATGTGTACCTATTTTTAATTATGAAAAATATACGCAATTACAAAGTAACTGACTTTTTTTTTTGGGGTAAATAATATACCTATATTTTATATGTATATATTTATATTATATTTTTCATATGTACATTATTGGATATGTAATTTATATATATATTTTTGCAATTTTAGGGGGCGAGATGTGAGAGGGAATGACAACTAAAAAAAATGGGGTGATTGATATGATATTAATAGGGAGTATATTAATTACAATTATGGTAGTTAATGAAATGCTTGAAATAAATTATAAATAAAATATGAAGTTTAGTGGCAACGATGTAAAAACATAGAAATACTACGACCTCTTATATCATACTGGTCATTTAAATTTGAAATTGGGTTTTACACATAGATTTATAGAGTGATGGGTATATGTCTAGAAAATAGAAAATGTAGGGATCTATATTGGACAAACCCTTATTTTTTCTGTCCGTATCTTTTGTACGATACGATGATGCATATACAGAACACTTATTCAATGAATGCAACTATGTTTAATATTGCACTTGTACATTGCTTTTCCATTTTTGTTTTGTTTACTCCTTTAACTCTTGTTTCTATATTATTTTTGTTTTCGTGCTTAAACTGCCATATTGGTGAATAGTTGTGCAGGAACGCTTGGTTAGTGTAGGCTCTAGTAGCTACAAGCTTTGGCTTGATGAATGCTAGTCTGATTTGTCTTACAGTACTTGCTTCAAGAAGTGAACTATAATGCTAATTTTGTAGTTATTGATACTGCTATATACATGGGTTTCCATTTTCTTAAATGATCTTACCATTTAAGACATGACACATGGCACATAAGCAAACTTTTAAAAAATTAATAAAAAATTTAATAACTTAATTCAATTTAAAATTCAAAAAATTCAAAATTCAAGATTAAAAAAGAAGGCATGCAACTCTCCCTCCCACCTTTATCCCCGCCATCCATACCCAATCCAAAGCCATCATGCAAGCCGCCATCTAAGCCCTAAGGTGCCGTTTTATGCAGGCGTACGGACCCCTTGACATAGATGCCCACTTTTCAATCGACACTTAAATGTAAAGGCCTAGCAGCGACTAAGGATAATGTCTTATCTTCCCATCCATGCTTACCAGAGGTGCCCTCAATTGGTTTTACCGTTTGGAGGTAGTTACGGTAGATTCATTTAATTAGTTAAAGCAATGTTTTATTAACTATTTTATGATCAGATTGATTGTCTTTACTCTGCCGATGATCTGTATACCATGTGACAATGAAATTAAGAAACATTGAGGGAATATACCGCTCGATTCAGCCACGACTACTCTTGGCCTCCGAGCATTGCATTTCCGATACATGGTCCACAAGTGGAAATTCATTCATCAAAATCGAAATCGGACGGTACCCTAAGGTTTATAGGATTAGTTGGGAACCTATCACTTTTAGTGAAGAAGAGGAGAAAGGTGTCATCTTCCTTCATGATGATCCCATGATCATTCGAGCGGAAATGACCGATTTCGATGTGGGATGCATCCTAATGGACACTGATAGTTTGGTCAACGTCCTCTTTGTTGATGCTTTCAAGGAACTAGGGATTTAAGGACCAATCCATCGATCAGTAGATCACCCCTCTCCTTAGTT